TCTCAATCATGACATCTTTATAGCTGTAGCGAGATAAATGACAAGCATGTCCTTTTCCTTTTCTCAATCATGACATCTTTATAGCTGTGGCGAGATAAATGACAAGCTTGTCATGTAATCAATGTCATATCTAGTATCAGGAAAGCGATTGGTAAAGGAAGTAATACATTGAACAAGAAGGAAGCGACTCTCACTACAAGACACAGCAGAAATCTTAGCGACAGTTTTTCTTTTATTCATATTTCCAAAGAGGTGAGTAAACGAAACTAATTTGGTTTTTAGAATGGTTTCAAGTATCTGGGCTGTTGCAGTTGTTTTCCTACCAAATGTGTCAGATCACTTCGTTTAACAGGTGCTGTTCCCGTGGTGATACCTGCAGTGATTGGTTATTAACTATTCTTTCACGCTCTGTTTGTTTTGTATTCTGTTGCATGTCAGTGTACTGGTGTCCACTCGGCGTATTCCTCTACCTCCATCAGACCTCGAACGCCACTGGGGTGGGGATACTGCATGTCAGTATACTGGTGTCTACTCGGCGTATTCCTCTACCTCCATGACACCTCGAACAACACTGGGGTTGGGATACTGCATGTCAGTGTACTGGTGTCATACTCGGCGTATTCCTCTACCTCCATGATACCTCGAACACCACTGGGGTGTTGATACTGCATGTCAGTGTACTGGTGTCTACTCGGCGTATTCCCCTACCTCAATGATACCTCGAACACCACTGGAGGGGGGATACTGCATGCCAGTGTACTGGTGTCTACTCGACGTATTCCTCTACCTCCATGATACCTCGAACACCTCTTGGGTAGGGATACTGCATGTCAGTGTACTGGTGTCTACTCGGCGTATTCCTCTACCTCCATGATACCTCGAACACCTCTGGGGTAGGGATACTGCATGTCAGTGTACTGGTGTCTACTCGGCGTATTCCTCTACCTCAATGATACCTCGAACACCTCTGGGGTAGGGATACTGCATGTCAGTGTACTGGTGTCTACTCGGCGTATTCCTCTACCTCCATGATGAATGGAAAGTATGGGTTGTTGAAGACCTATTCTATCCCGGATCTTCACGGGTCGGATATCGCATGTGCATGTATTGATAGATGTGTGGGTGCCTTCTCGCACGGAATCCTCACCCGGGACCTAATATATGGTATTTGTACTGGCGTTGATGTCACTAACTAGACTACCTGGTTACATTATCTTTCAGAAAAGTATCTAACAGACCCAGTAAACAAGTGAGTGAGTGAGTTGGGTTTTAACGCCGCTTTTAACAGTATTCCAGTTATATCACGGCGTGTCAGCTTTATGTGGGAGGAAAGCCCGAAGTGATGCAGGTCTCAGACGTTTACCACCTCGGTGAAACCCACGGGCACGGGTATGGTGCTGACCTAGAAACATAATCGGGGCGAACAGGGGTTCGAACCCACAATCATAGGTTTCTGGCGTGCCCAAGGGACGCAACTCTGCACAGCGAATCGCAGCGCTTTAGACGACTGTGCCACCCGTGCCCCCCAGTAAACAAGTGAACATGAATAACCTGGTCCGAGCAGTGATCTTTAATGGCCTCTACATGCATGCATATATAAATAGCAATACGTTGTCCTACCTAACCGATTGGTTAATGTCACTGCAAAGGTCACAAATTCGGTGAAGTTAAGTGACGCTGACGGCGGACAGTAGTTGGATGAGTGGTCGTTTTCAACTTGTCTCCTTAAGAGTGTCTTGTGCTTCGTTCCTCCACGCTGAATCACAGGTCTCCCTAGGCAAGTCACTTGGGTTATAAAAAAACAAATACACACGACTGTCATACGTAAAATGATCCTGGCACTTGCATGTTAACTAGTGATCACCAACTGACTCCTCCTTCCTCTAAACTCTGGTACCAACAATGGTCTGTCCATTGTCAGGCGGGGCGGTCGGGCAGCCTAGTGGTTAAAGCGTTCGCTCGTCACGCCGAACACCCGGGTTCGATGTCCGACGTGGGTACAATGTGTGAAGCCTATTTATGGTGTCCCCTGCCGTGATATTCCTGGAATATTGCTAAAAGCGGCGTAAAACCACAGTCACTCACCCATTGTCAGGTAGATCCCCTGATATGTCCTCAATAGTCACTGAGTTTACGCCACCAATTGCATGACACCGACAATGAGCATCACACGTCGTGTAGGAAGGAAGGCCATAGAAGAGCCCCAGATTCAACATCAATACTATTTTGTACTAATGCAGGAATAATCATAGAAGCTCATATTTTCACATTTTATCCATTCTCATTTTTCATGGTACCCAATATCTCTGCTGGTTTAGCAAGTAAAGGGATCGGGTGGTCAGGCTCTCTGACATGGTTGATGCATGTCATCGATCCCAATTGCGAGGATCGATGCTCATAATGTCAATCACTGGACTGTCTGGTCCGGACTCGACTATTTACAGACCGCCGTCATATAGTTGGAATATTGCTGAGTGCGGCGTTAAACAACAAACCAAACCAAAAACAATTGTATTACCTTACGTTTATCATACGGCGACTATGCTTGTCGTAAGAGGCGACAAACAGGATAAGGTGGTCAGACTCGCTGACTTGGTTGATGCATGTCTTCGTATATCATTTGCGTAGATGCAATGATGCATGATGTCAATCACTGGATTTTCTGTGCCTACTTTGACGTCCGAGCTTACCTATAAAAGATTACTGCTGAGTCTACTCTGAGCTATTCTGACAAGTCGAGTCACAGCTTCGGTGTCACTGTCCTGCGAAGACAGACGCTGGTTATGTAACAGGTAATTTGAGCTCATGTTCTAGAAAGCGTGTTAGACTGGCGTCGTGGCATTAATTTTCTTATGTTTGTTTTCATACCCTCTGTGTATTTAGGTCAGATCAGTGGTGTAATAGAACTGATAGGTTACTATCACTGTTGCTAACGCTGTGTGAGTCCACTTGCAGAGTCACTTGCAGCCTTGAGTCAATGAGCCGCAATGCAATCGCTATATCTATTTATGTTATTCTCCACATCACAAGTGCGAACCCTCGTAAATCCACTTCTTGACAATAACGAGTCGTTTCCTTTGTGGGTGAGGCGTTACTTCAGCATAGGCTGCGTACTCGTAAGGTAAGCACCGTGACGAGGGGGGATCGACGGGGATATGTAACGGATATGTTCTTTACACATCATTCAGAACCACACAAAGGATGATATTGTCAGCTGTGGTATATTTACCATTTAGACAGAGAGGATATGTTATATGCACAACTTTAAACGAGACAGAGAGCAAGATGTGTACTGGATATGTTATATATATCATATGTCGTTGAATAAATTATATCCTAAAACTCTACCAAATAGAATGAATGAATGAATGTAATGTTTTTCCTCTGTTACGTGTCGATTCCTAAATTGAAACAATATGTTAATCCAGAAATCTACACGCAAAAGAACTGTGTGAAACCAACAAACAACCAACAAGTGGTATAAAAATCAACAAATGTATTACAAAATTATGACAAAAAATTTTTACAAATCAGCACACATTACTGATCAGCAATTATAATGGCAGTAAACAATAGAGTGGTGGTTTAATATTCAATGGCAATTAATAATATGATGGCAGTGGTCAGTATCAAATACAAAAATACAGTGGTGACAGCAAAAGTCAGTGATTATAATATATATATTCACCAAGCGGCGACAGTCATCAAGCTTCCGAGATTGGCTAGGCAAGGAATCGGGAATGATGAGCGATCCTCACACGAAAGCGTGATGAAAATCGCGATCGTGTGTGTCCCGCAAACACGCCACGGCCCACAACCTACCCAGCCACTGGAAGGTTCCAAACATAGAACATTACAAACATTTCCATATGTTTCAATAACATTTTCTCACAGTCCGCGGTACACGGACCGGAACTTTACACACCACACTAGCATCTAAAAACTCAGCATACATTCATTGTCAAGTTGAGTACATGTAGAGTTTGACGCTGTTTCGAGACACAGATTGTGACACAACGATCATTTGACGGAAAGTGGATGAAGCGGTCGTTAAATATTGCCCTGAGCTTAGAAACAGGCCAACAATTAATTTCTTTCCTCCTTTCCAATCTGGCAAGCGCCCTTGTGGGGATTCCGCGGCATCGAAGGACACTATAATCTCAATCTGGTCATAAGAGTGAGCGATTGTGGGTTTAAGCTGAGTATAGCACTATTCCAGAAATATCTCATCGTGGAACACCAGAAATGGATATTGTATGTTTGTGGGGAATCGAACCAAAAGGATAAGCACACGCTGTAATCGCTAGGCTACCCCAACGCCACTGTCATAATAGTTAACTAATGTCAGCTTGTTGTTAGGAGGGAACTAGATGACTTTGTGTCTTAACTACACAAAATAATTAGCCATATGTAAAACAATATTCACTCACGAACTCATGCGATTTGAGTTACGTTATGATGATCATGATCACACCATTTAGATTTAACAAAAGCGTCTTAGCGATGACATAAAATCCTCAATATCCTCAATAATCAAATCAAACACGCCACAACCAACAAGAAATCTGTTTCAGCTGATAATTGGTTATTCTCTGGCGATGACATCTAATATTATTTTCACATATCATGATCAAATAGAGACAAAATTAATATCTTCCCGATAATGTTTGAAAACAAATAAGTATCTAGTCATTGGTCAGATTGGCCAAGCTTCATCATGAATAGTATCTGGTGACTTGCCATCGTAGACATTCATTAGTTACAGTTCAAATTATGTTTTACTATAGTTTGGGTTGTGAAAGAATATGTATAACCGTGATTATTTTAATGTGAATAAAAGATATATTTACTTCAGCAAAATCGAACCCAAAGGATAAGCAAACGCTGTAATCGCTAGGCTACCCCAACGCCACTGTCATAATAGTTAACTAATGTCAGCTTGTTTTCAGGAGTGAACTAGATGACTTTGTGTCTTAATTACACAAAGTAATTAGCCATATGTAAAACAATATTCATTCACAAACTCATGTTGTCATTTCAACGAAAACATAGTAAATCTTGAAGCGCTGACTGAAAATATATTCATATCAATCAACCGAGTCTGACCACCTAATCCATTCAATCGCCTCGTTCTCCATACATAGTTTTCTGGGGACTTACAATTGTAGACATGCATTGGTTACAGTTCAAATCATATGATATAAATATGTTTTACTATAGTTTGGGTTGTGAAGGAATATGTGAAACCGTGATTAATTTAATGTGAATAAAACACATGTTTACTTCAGCAAAACACAACATATTCACTTACAAAACACTGCACTGATTCTTTGTACAACATGCACGTAATATATATCCACTTCAGAATTAATCCCTTGCAGTGGTTCATAAAAAGCTTCCTAAACATCTGGAGACGAATACAATAGACGGTTCTGGGATGTGACATACAGAATTTTCATACAGAAAATACCTGTATATAATGTACATCCACTCCAAGATGAATCCCCGGAAGTGGTTCACAACAGGCATCCTGGACGTAAGGTACTATAGAAAATACCTTCAGAGATCATGATCAGTATATGGTAACACGAATGAAAAAAGTCATTGCATCACTTTTAACCAGCCTAGTTACCGATTATCATACCACTTATTAAGCCATTATTGTTTCAAATTTGCAATCTCTCTCAGATGTTTCCACAACGCTGTCTGATCTTCAGGGTACTCGTCCACGTGTATTATAAATTCCTCCTCAACCATGTTCAACAGACACTGGGGAAGGTCCCCTGCTTCAATGTCACCCACCAGTAAGATCAATATCCGGTTAGGAATGAGGGCATTCATGGAGTATATTGCTGCATTGATGGTGAAATGTGACCAGGCAGAGGGGTCTTCAAGGAAATCATGTGATACAACAAGAACAGTCTTCCAACTTTTGTTAATACCTTCTATAATTCCGTCAGCAATGTCATGACCCGGAAGTACTTCACGATCTTTTAAGAAGAGACGCACAGGGTGATTACAAAGCTCTAATGCAGGCCGAATTTTCCGATAAACAAAAGGAATATCAGCTTCACAATATCCAATGTAGAGTGTGAAAGAAAAGTCTTTTCGAGTAAGATACTTGACCCCAAACCCAAGTATTCCCATGAGAATGTTTTTGAATCTTGTTGGGTTCTTGGAGATAAGGTATATAGTTACAATAGACGTCAGGAAGACAGTCAAACATGGGACTGTGAGAGTGAACATCCATATACCAGTACAGTGACGATAGATGCTCATGTAATTCCTGACAACCTCAACAGTTCTTGTTATTTGTCCATTGTCCTGAATACAAGGGAAATTCCTGTCAGACTCATAGATTACTGGTGAGTCCATCAACCACAGGATAAAGTCCAGATTTTCACAGCCACAAGAAAAAGTGTTGCCCTTAACTATGACTTTCAGACGGTTTCTTTCAGCCGAAGAATCCAAGTCAGATTGTGTATACTTATCCAAATGTCCTATCATATTATATGACATGTTCAGAAGCGTGAGACGTGGAAAAGTAGTTGTCACAATGGGAATAGTATCAAATTTGTTTTGCGAAAGATTAAGATGAATGATTCTATTTTGATTTAGGATGAATGGGAATAATTGTAGGCCATTCAACGAAAGATCCAAATATTCCACTAATTTAAGAGCACCAAATATATTCCGAGCTCTTAGCACATCGTTGGCAAATTGTAAGTTGCAATGTTTCAAAGATAACGTTTTGACGTTTGAAAATGACTTAAAAAATTCTTCAGTAACATTGCCAAGTTTGTTTCCAGATAGGTCAACATGACTTACATTTTCCAACCCCTTTACACGAGCACGATCATGTTGTTGGTTGTATCCAAAAAGCAATGTGTCAAGATGTTCGGTGTTTGTAAATGTGATTTCATCATATGTTACTGACAACATAAATGTATTTGTTGCATCGTAATATTGAAGTTTTGGGGGAAGCATCAGTGTGAGGTTACCCTTTTTTCTCCCTTCTGCTTCTTCCCATATGCTCTCAACTCTATCATATGTATGATGTTGATGACTTAAGTCAAGGTGTCTCAGTCTTGAGAACGCTGCAAAAAATAACACAAACAATGCATCTCCAATCAGGCGGTTTGTTGAAAAATCGACCACTTCCAAACATTCACGAATGGGGGATTTGTATAAAGAACCTGTTTCAATTAAACATATCCGGTTACCTTTCAAGGACAACTCCGAAACACATATCTGAGTCAAAAAGCGTGTGCTGTATTCTGTAAGGATACGATCATCCACATCTTCCTTGAAGTGAGCTCGGGTTATATATGTGTTGTTCAACCATATTCTTGTCATGTTCCTTCCAACGAGAGGATAAAGAAGATGTAAAACATTTTGGATGCCAATTTCATTGTTGGTTAGTTCCAGATGTTTTAGGAAGGACAAAGGCTCAAGAACACCAGTCTCACAAAATGTTAAATGATGACAGTGATTAAGAAGTAGTATCTCAAGTTTTGTTTCATTTAAACTTTGAAACGTTTCATTTGTTATTTTTTCTAAAGAACAATGACCACCATCCATCTTGAGAACTTTGAGATTTGTCAGTTTGGAGAATCCAGACCCAAAGACAGCATCTGGAACGGGGTCAATGTACAGGCTGTGGAGCTTGGTGAGGGGAGCTAACACCAAATCTGGATATGCTTTCATCTTGTTCTTCTCAAGATTGATTGTATGCAAATTTCCAAGGTCACGGAAAAGTCCTTCGGGTAAGGAGTTGTTGTTGTGCGACAGTTTGTTGCTTGCAAGAAGCAGAGTGGTCAGACTGAATACCCCTACCAAGGCATCAGGCTCCATAGTGACAAGTGAGTTATTGTTCAGGTTTATGTACTTAAGACAGCCACAGTTTTGAAATGTCAAATTTCTCACAACTGTAATCTGATTGTCACTGAGGTCAAGAGAGGTAATATTCCGTGGAAGGTCGTCAGGAACATGCAGGAGTTGTCTTCCTCTACAGTCAACAAACAGTTTGCCATATTGGTCATGGAAAGTACAGACGTGAGTGTTGACCTTTGAGATCCTTACTGCAACCATTATGAGAATTCCGATGACCGTTGCCATAATGACTGGAAAAGAAGAAAAGAAGATTCAATGACATATTATCAACGGTTATAATGAAAGCATCTAAGACTTCCATCCTTTGATAGTTATACAGGGATTGATGCACTCTGCTTTTTAGAAAATATATTTTTTTATAATTTGAAAAATAATAACATAAAATCCAAATCCTAAAAGTCAAACTTGAAAACATCAGAAATTTGTCTGAAAATTATAATTTGCAGACAAATATACAGTGTATCTACTCCAATTATTGACATTGTCCCTTAGCAAACATGTTTGTCGCTTTCATCCGTTTTATATTGGCAATATCATATCCTTGGGTGCTCGCATGTGCACGGTTAAGCCAGACTGTTGCTCTCTTATCTGGGTACATTCATAGTAATTATACGTTTTGATGTGAGAGGTCATATGATATCAGTGAAATTATCTTTAAACAATGTCATTGTAACAAACATTCCTGTTCTGGAAAAGGGATGTTTTGTTTTAGCAACATCGTCAACAAAAGCTGAGGTTGAAGTGCAGCAGATGCCAAAAAGAAACACAGCGAATTACTTGAATATTCATACCCAAAAGTGTTAAAAGATGGTAATCGTTGTCACACACACACACACACACACACACACACACACACACACACACACACACACACACACACACACACACACACACACACACACACACACACACACACACACACACACACACACACACACACACACGTGCATGCACACACGTCGCTCTATAAGTGCAATACTTTTGGACGCGACTTATAACCACATTTCAACTCACCTTAACTTTATTTAAAATACTAGTTAGCGCTCCAAGTCTATAAGGCAAGAGCCGTATTGTAACAGTTCTGTTAATAATTTATTAATATTTATTCTACTACGACATTGAAGTGTGCTTGATACTGACAGGCTAAATATTAAAACTTTTCAACCAAAAACATATCGATCCATAAGAGATGGCTGTATTCGGTATTACCGCATTAATTATGTGAGGTACCGGCGTGCCGAATAGAGGAAGTACGTACGTTTCATATCGGATGTTTTTGGTGACAATTTTGACGTACGTAAATCTGACGGGTTCGATGATGAGATGTGAAGAGATGAAATGCTGGAGTTCCTCTTCGATAACATCTATGTAAAAGTTTGGGGTAAGGCATTCAGGCAAGAGGTGAGGTGAAATGGGGTTTAACGTCGCGTCCAAGATTATTGCACTTATATAGCGACGTGCAAGCACACGGCAGTTAAACAAATCCACAGTGACTGGGATAACTGTGTGTTTGTGAGGCTTGAGTCTGACGTGAAACCTGTCAGTCTGGGTGGACTGTATGTGCTTCCGGAAGGGTCCCTGCTATACCGCAATCTGTCGGGAGACGACGGAATTGATCAATTGGAGACTGTGATAGCTTGTACTAAGTCTTGCATGGCACAGACATTGACATGGTTCTACATGGGTCCTTAACGCACGAACTGCATCCCAGGAGGATTTCATTTTAGAGAATGAAAGTGATGTTGAATTGCTGGATCTAGGAAAGATGTATGAAACAGATATGTTCTGTGAAGGAAGGAAATCACAAGATGAGAAAATAAATAAGTTTGGTTTGTCATTTTTTTAAATATATGTAAACAACGGGGAATTCATATTGTGAATGGAAAGAAACCGGGTGACTTGGAAGGCTGTTTTACGTACATATGTCCATATGGGACTAGTTTTATAGACTATTTTCTTGTATCTAGAAACAATTGTAATGCTATCAAAGATTTATATGTACACAGCAGAACGCAGTCTGACAACGTGCCCGTTTTCTGTCAATTGTTACATTCTATTAGTCAGCCGCCGTCACCGTCTGTCCAGGAAACATTAATTCCAATGAAAGTTCCCAGATATGTGTGGTCCGAGGATGGACAAAAGTTCAATATAGACAATATCTCTTCTCCCCCAGCAAAAGCAATAATTGACAGCTTTCTTGATTTTCTCGTAAATGTAAACGAGGCTGCTGACAAACTGTCTACTATATTTCAGATCATTAGTGCGGACATGGAAAAGACGCCGACTAATTTAAAGGCTGCAAATAAACAACCTGGGTGGTTTGATGAGGAAGGTTCAGTCAAAAAACGAATTAAATATTCATCGATTACATATTCTTCGAAAAAATACGATAAACAAACCTGGAAGTTATTGAGAGGCGAAACGAGATTTTAAAAAGAAATGTGAGGAAAAGGAGACTACTAACAATAAAGAAACGACAGATCGCATTAACTCGGCAGTTGGTGATAGAAATTGTCGGGGTTTTTTCCAAGAGATATTTGTCAATCAGAAATAAAGCATCCTCTAATGCATCATCTAATGCTTTAAAGCATTGTCATTTTTTTTTATTCCATTAATGTAAATTGGTGGGGGTTTTTCTGTTAAAGCGAGAGTGACAATGTGACAATCCACATTCTTTTCAATGTTCTTGACCGTGGAATGGGTTCTTTTGATGTGAGGTTCATATATCCAGAAATATAGGCTTTGCAATAAATTGAGCTAAAGTTACAGGTCTTTCAGTTGAAGAGTGTTAGGCAGGCAGCCTTTATTTCAATACCGGAAGTGGTATAATCCAAACCGTAAGTACAAATATCAAAGTTACAAAGTAAGCCACAGCTGTCATACTTTCTCCTTTGAAGTTCTAATATAGTCAGCATCTGTTTCCTGAAACAACAAAGGGCATAATCCAAACTAGATGTGCCAATAACTAATTTTATAAACTGAGATAGAACCAGGTGGCTACAGATTTAAGGTTTTAAAGCAGTGAAAGAAATTCTTAACCCGGAAGTTAGACAGTTCAAACACTTAAGCTTTGATGCACAACAAGATCCAACATGGGTCATTCAAGTAATAAGAACGTGATTTCTGAAACCACAAGTGACATAATGCAAAAACATGAAGTACTAATACGTTTGTTACAAACCGAACTAGAACTATGGGGCTTTGTGGTTTCCAATTCCAATTAAATGTTCTGTGTCAAACCAGAAGTGATAATTGATTAATTTTCTGGTTCTGAGTGCACTGGTAGAAGGGATCTGTTGACATTCCTTGATAAGACTAGACGTAGTTACTCTTTAAAACTATCTAAGCGAGCTAAAATGATGTGTAGCATGCGAATGGGCACCTATCTCGATGAAGCAGTGAGAATGGATGTCATTGGAGCCCGACATATTTGTTTTCAATTTTATGAATAAAAGCTTCATTCTTTATCTAAATTTTCAACAGAAAACTGCAACAACACATCCTACCAAAATATCAGCTATCTGGATATATCAATTTCTGAGAATTCTAAACAAAAAACTCTCCGCTCCCCATGTCCTAAAGACTGACCGCTGGAACGTTTTCAGTACATTTCTGTCAGATACAGTTATATTGGGAATCAAGTGGTCACCAAGCAGATCATGTACCAAGGTACCCTAATGTCGTTGGTCTCTGCTCATACTTCAATCACTGGTTTGTTTACTTGGTTCGATTATCCTTTTACTGTAAAGCGACGACAAAGAACAGTAACATGGTCTTAGTATTAACACATATTGTATGTAAAATTTAACCTGTGTTGGTTGTGACATCGTTCCCGGGCGGCGTTCAGCAACTAACAAAAGAAAATCTATTCTACCCCGGAATCTTCACGGATCACTAACAAACAGAACTGACTAAACTTTGCTCACTGGACTTCGATAAGGTGTTAATTTGGTGTTGATGCGACACATCAATAAGTCGTTTCAGAATTTTCTGTTTGTTCTTGTTTAACGTCGCAATGAGAAATAGGCCGCATGTAAATAATCGGGTTTGGATGAGACAATCTAGCGATTGAAATATATTAAACTTTTGTGTACAATGTGTTTACTAGTCAGGACTAGCATATACTTTCGTTTCAGGCGAATTTTGACCTTGAGTAGACATTTGCAGCATAACAGTTTCACAAAATCAAAAATGCGGACATGGGCAATAAAAATAAAAGTAAGCGAAAAGTAGGCTTTAGCATATGGTTGCCATGGACACCACACTTGCATTCGAAATGGTCCTACACCATGTGACTAGAAAGTAACGGAACAGGTTCAGGCAGGTCCTGTCCAGACTGTCCACGGACCTCGAGGCAGCGTTTTGGACAATTTGACAAGTACGTCAATTACCCCTTCGCTTGTCAAAGCCAAAACAGACATTGCTTAGGCCATTGAGGCAAGGGCTGGGGATTTACATCCCCCTCAACGCGGGGTCTATGTCTGGGGGAAATAAGGTACGTGACCCTGTGTCCCCCAGAAACCCCAGACTTTGACCTTTGCAGTGGAAAGACAGTTGATCATGCTTCCACATATCTTCTCTGATATTGCTTGACTGAAATGTTACATGCAGATTCCTTCTCATGAAAAACGTTTTTCTGTTAAATATTTTCAAAATATCCAATTTTGCAAAAGAATTTAAGATCTTCTTCTTTAGAACCAAAACAACCGCAGAAGCTGAACTTTGTGATAATGACTACAAGTCGACTAAAGTTTCTTCAAGGCAATAAACACGTATCTCATGCACGGCCATATCAAGACTATAATAGACTGTGGTCACTCATATATATGTATCTTACCCATGACCATATCGAGACTGTAATAAACTGTGGTCACTAATATACACGTATCTTACCCATGAACATATCTAGACTGTAATAAATTGTGGTCACTCATATACATGTATCTCACCCATGAACATATCTAGACTATAATAGACTGTCGTCACTCATATACACGTATTTTACCCATGAACATATCTAGACCATAATAAACTGTGGTTACTCATATACATCTATCTCACCCATGAACATAGCTTGCATGTAATAAACTGTGATAAGTCATGTACATGTATCTCACCGATGAACATATCTAGACTGTATTAAACAATAGTCACTCATATACATGTATCTCACCCATGAACATATCTAGAATGTATTTAACAATAGTCACTCATATACATGTATCTCACC